TTAGACAGCGTGAAGGAAAGGCACATGTAGTAGAGGAAGAAACTGAAGTTAAACGAGGAAAGTCGAAGAAAAAAGCTTTGTATATTTTCGACAACTTTTTCTACTCTCACGTTCAATTACATGTAAATATTTTTTAAATTCATCTAAAATCTGAGCCGATTTACCGCAGCTAAGCAAAACTTATAACTTGGTTTATGGAAGTCGGATCTAGCCAATTTTGCGTAATAAGACTCATCGTCAGGCTTCACAAAACTATGTCAAAATTGACTTTTTTATGACCTCCCCCTTGTCGCTCAATCCAGCCGTGCCCGCAAATCGCCACTGCCCTAGTGGCGACTTGTTTTACTGAGTGGGAGAGTATCTTTTACCGTTCTTATGAATTTGTGATTGTGACTATTCCATGAATAATTTCCTCTAAACTTCGACGTTATTAATAATTAAATATTTCAGTTAATGCTTGCTAAGACGTTATCTGAAAATTATTTTGTAGTAAGTTATTTATATGATTTTCCCTTGGCCTCGACCTCGAAAAAAGAAATTTTTGTCCCTTGGCCAACTCTGCCTTAATGTGAGGATCTTTTAACTCTACCGTCAAGGCCCTAACAATAATAAAAGGATTAAAAGTAAAATTAGAGAATCGCTATATTAACCCCTCTCCTTCCAACGGAGGGGAATAACCTTGGCATAAACCCAGATTTCTGCACTAGAGCTGATCTAACTATGTTTCTACATGGGTAAAATACTTGTGATTAGTCCAGAAGTATTTAAATCAAATAGTATGATTGCTACCTAAATCAAAAATATTTTATAGGATATACTTGTTTATAGTAAAGAAAACGGTGAACCTATAGAATTCAATCCAATGCCAAACGATTTACAAATTATTAAACTGAATATAGACATAAACCATTTGGATAAGGAAATACTTGCAAGCAAAGGGCAATGGACCGCTTATAACGAATTTAAACAATCAAAAGGATATCGCGTTAAAATTTTTGAGGGTTTGAGTTTTGAATAAATTTTCTCCGATAAATAAGGATAGGATTTGGAGATATTTTGAAGATCGTCGGGGAATAACCCAAACCAAACGAATATGACAGCGGTCCTTCCTGTTATATTCGCGGTCCTTCAAAATATCTGATTATCACAATTCTAATGCCGGAAAATAGCCTAAGATTGGATGTGCTTGATCCTGAAAGTCTGTGGTGTCCACTGAATCTGTGGCGTTTCTGTCATTTCTTTCATTTGAATATTTTAATTTTAAGATTTAATAAAAGCTGAAAATCAACATATTCTTGAGCATCTTGGAAAGCAAGGATATCATTTTGGAATTGCCGATCTAGTTGAAATGGCTGGCTCTTTCGCCATTTTTGAGTTTTTAGGGATCAAAAATACTTTTAATGTTCTTCCTGCTATTATTCTCCCTGCTTTATTTCAATTTATTGGAATTGATATTGCACAACAAATTTATGAAAGGCAAACTATTATTCCAGGTAAAGTTATGGTGCTCAGTAAAGTTTTTGTCTCAGTAAAAAACTGCCATTAGATCGCAATTATCCTCCGGAATCTTCATGCTTCTGAACCTTGGATTAGTAAAGACTAGATCCTCGTCAGAATCGCAAATTTGGCCGGATCCGGAATCGGAAAATTTTGAAATTTTAAAAGGTAATGCGGCTAAATCGTCAATAAAAAATGAGAAATCAATCCTTAGGGGTGTTAAAAGTTCCGGCTTAACCGGAACTGAAGGGCCGGAACCAAAACCAAAAAATCCCAAAACTTCCGGCCTTCTGAACCGGAACATACGGAGAGGAACTAGAGGAACTTCTGGCCTCTAGTAAACGCCTTAGATTTGTTCTGGTTTAAATGCCTTCTGAAAAGGCATATAGAAACACTTTGCAGGATCGATGATTGCCCTGGAACATCCTTTAAAAATCTTTTAATGTCAAAATCTTTTCTTTAGACTAAATAGGATTATAATAAAATAGTTCGGATTTTCTAGAATTATATTTTTATAAACTAGGTATTTTTAAATTAAAGCTCGAAGATTTCCAAAACCTGAAGATTGGGTATTTACACAATATGGATGTCATTTCAAAGAAGACAGATTCATGGCAAATTTGAAAGAACAGATACTTGAAATACAAGCAACTAGAAAATATTATCAAGATATTGTTAGCGAAACATTGGCCAATGTTATGAATATAGGGGAGGGAGAAATTGGAGAATTTTTCCCAAATTTATTTGAGAAAATTAGCTATCATTTTGTTAATCAACATTCATATGCTAATTTTAAAAATAGCCCAGTTGGTGGAAAAATTGTTCATATTGGAGGAATTCTTGTTGAGGAAAATGATTATTTTAAGGAGAGAGAACAAAAGAATTTTGTAGGAATATTTATTTATTCTAATCAAAATTTGAAAGTTTTTCACATTATAGAATTTGAATTTGATTTTTAGGGCTATCGGTTTGGAGCTGAACCAGGGTGGCCCCTTCCAAAACACTAAAATAGGGCGCACCCACTCTAAAAGAGGGTAAATATAGGGCAAAAATTAGGGCATAGCTTTAAAAGCTTAAACATAATTAAAATTTCAAATAAAGCGAACATTTTAAGATTTTTGGAAGGCAAAGAAGCCAAATTTCTTCCATTTTAAAATTTTACATGATGTTAAAAATAAGGCAAAAATATGGCAAATGAGAAAATAGGGAAAAAATAGGGCGAAAAGGTCAAAAATAGGGAAAATCCTCTATAAATACGGTAAAAGGGCCATACTGAGCTGAACCTAAGCAGGATTTTGCTTTCCAATTTTTTATTCCAACTTTTTTTTTAAATTTCTAAACCACGCCAAATGCCAAAACTCGATAAAACTAAGCGCCAAAACGCTTTGGCGCACAATCATGAACCGAAGATTTTCCATAAATCCTATTAATTATCCTATTAATTATAACAATAAGAATAATTAATAGCGCACAATCCTATCTATTATTGCAGCATGTAAAATTAAATAATAGGCAATGATGACAACTAATTAGGGTTGTCGGTTCTGGACCGAACCGACCCGAACTGAACCGAAGAACCGAGGATTTTTCGGTTCAGTTCTTCCGTTCGGTTTCAATATTCGAAGACCCTACAACTGTTGATTAAAATCTCAAAATATGAAAAATAATCTCTTTAAGAACCCTTCTCTTGTCCTTGTCTCTTTTGGTCTGTTGAACATGGCTGGTGGAATGGACATAGATGATGCCAAGTTTATGATAAATGATGTATTTTATAACCACCCTAATTATCAATTTAAAGTTAAAATACCTCATTATACTCCAACAAGTTTTGATAATATTGAAATTACAAATAAATTTATTGAACAAAAACAAATATTATGTAAATTTTATTTTTATTTTTTAATTAATTATTGGATTAATTAAACTCCCCGGTTTCACTTAATTCAGTTTACTCGTTATTATTAATTACACCTTTGATGGATGTGATAAAAATGAAATTTTCAATAATTTATTTAAATAGTAAAGCAGCTGGGCTATATGTAGCTATTTCTCTCCTTTAGCTAGTGCAAAAGGTTAATCGGCGGCTGGGAGCTAGCCAGTATCTTTAGTAGACCGGACTGATGTGTTAGCCATTACACCACGCCGCCCACTGCACACCCTGAGGAATTAAATAGTTATATGCGTTACAAAAATACTTTTGGTCATGATAAGATTATAAAATCCGAGAAGGAAAATAAAGCAACATATTTTAACAATTTCAAAAATTTTCTGAACGAAATCTCGTCTCGTTCTGAACTCTGGCCCATTTTATGGAATTTAATAGAAATTAAGAGATGGCTAGTATCCCAATAGAAATCCGCTTGTAATTCCAAATTTTTAACCTTTCAGTTGATCCAAATACAAAATTGTTTATTTCGCATTGTGGGCAGAACAGCTTGACTGAGGTAGCATAATTTAAGACTTCATAAAGTAAATTCAAATTATAATTTAAAGGCAATATATGCAGGTGTTCCTTTAATTTGTATCCCCTATGATGGGGACCAATTCCTAAATTCATCTCTTGTCGAGCATTTGGGTATTGGAATATTTGTAAGTCTTTGGGAAGACAATAAAAAGAAGGACAATAAAAATCGTGATTTTGGTAATGAATTTAAAAACGCTGTCGCTGAAATGCTTGGAAAGTGAGGAAATTTCATAATCTGTGAGAAACTTTAAACAGCTCTGAAAGGAAGCAGACACAACCTTCCTTTCAATCCCTAGTGGTCAATTCTTCAATTAACTCAGAGTTGATTGATCGTTTTAATTTAATTTGATTGACTACAAGTTAGGGTAACTTCAGGGCAATTTTACTTACACCTTAGTTCTGTGTACAGACTAAGGTTTTTTTCATTTCCATAAGATACGTAGGAAAAAGGGTTGACAAATCCCTAGTGGTCAATTCTAAAAATATCTTTTAGCAATAAATATCAACAAGCAATAACCGAATTGAAAGACAAAATTCTTTCAAATTACTACAATGGGTTTACAGCAAAAAATGTTTTTCTTCAAACAATTAAAAGTGTTGTTGGGGTTTAGTAAATATGCTTTATGAAGGAAAAAGGAGAGGAAACAAATGGATTTTGGGATTTTTTAAATTTATTTTTGGGGAGGGTTATTTAACGAAAATTTTTTGGGGGTATTTTGAGGGATATTAAAAGAAAAAAATTTAAATTGGGTTAAAGATGAAAGATTTGGGTAGCAAAAAAAGAATTATTTGCATTTTATCATTTAATTGGGATTGATCAAGACCGTTTTTAAATACATTCGGATCTCCGTTGTACTTCCTTTACTCTCACTTTGACGTCGATTTTCTAAGCACTAAAAGTAAGGTACAACTGAGATCTGATTTTATTAGAATTTTGCAATTTTTTATTTAAACTGGGTAAATTGCTTCTAATATTTTTTAAATTAAAATAATTAGTCTAAAATTAATTCAAAAAAAATTTTTTTCAAAAATCAAAAATTTAAAAATAATTGAAATAATACAAAATTAATAACCCTACAAATATTTTTATTTTTTCCTTACTAATAAATTTAATAGAAATTCCCCCATTTTTACTCGTTGAATTTTTTAGTGCTCTTATTGGCAATTCCTCCCCTATTGCCTGCTCGAATAAATTTGTATTAGGAATTTCTTCAGTTCCGTTTAGTGTTGAGGGGTCTATTTTCTTTAATTGTTCTATCCATTCAATTTTTCCACTAGAAAGTTGTTGGGTAAAGTTGGCATCTAAAGCTGTTGCTTCCCAATATTCGTCATCATCCTCGATTGGAGGTAAAGCTAGATTGGAGGTAAAAATATTTAAATTGAATTTTTAAAAATATTTAGAGTCAAACACAGAAAACTTGGTCCTCCTATGGTTTTTTTAATTTTCGAGGAACTACATATATCTCAGTCCTCATGCATTTTTGTACCTAAAGAATGCTACCTTTAGTCTCGGCACGCCGAGTCGAGTAACATAAATTCGATCCATCTTGTAGCAATTTTGAAGGAACTAATATATCCTTTGGATTATTCTTGGTTAAGCAGCTCACCAAACTAAGGTTGGCGGATAGTTGGAAATCTTCGGATATCCGAATCCGGTATCCGAACAGAAAATTTCCGGATATACGGCCTTTTTTCGGATCCGGATCCGCCAAACATACACCAAACAGCTATCTAACCAAATTTTAATGAACAACATGAACTGAGAAGCATTATGTATGTATTAGGTTTATGTATCTTAAAGTGGGGTTATCTTATTCAATTGACGTTATAAATTTTTTTCTTGATTTAAGAAAAATATTCCCTACCAATTAAACATGTTTTGCCACCCCATGAAGAACTACAAGCACAAAAGAATAGTGCAGAGGAACGTGTTGTTCTATAAAAATTAATTTCTTTTTATTAATAATCTACAATTAATTACCTACAAATCCCCCCATTTTTACAAGGATTTTGATCACAAGGCCCTTAAAGAAAAAATTTTTTATTTTTATTTAAAAAATACAAACTAAATTCACAACGTTTCCCCGCATATCCGGCAGTACAAAAACAATCAAAATCGACATGCTCAGCATCAGCAATTACCGAACAAGTAGCGCCATTCAAACACGGCGATTGAGTACAGGGATTAAAATCTTTTAAAAAATGTTTCTATCCATTTTTCATATTTTTCTAATTTTTATGTCTTATATTAAGTGTTCTATTGTTGTACCTGACGTTTTTCCTTGCAAAAATTCTACCTTATAGGTATGCTAATACAGCTCCTCTCCCTAAACTCCTCTCTCTAAAACATTTTAAACTGAGAGGTATATCTAATATTAGGTGCATTTTATAATTAGTAGTTTCACCAGAAATTCCGGTTGTGGAATGTTCCGGCGTTTTTTGGTTCCAGTTCCGGAATCCGGAACTCAAATTGTATCCAGTTCCGGCCAAAATTTGCGTTACGGGGAACACTAATAATTAGATCTAACTCTGTTAAGGTTAAAAATTTTAAAATAAATTTTTAAAAGAATTTCCTTTCTCTAAAACTAAATTTAAATTTAAAAATTTATGTTCCTTTCTCACCAATCTGTTTAGAACAATTTTCACCAAAATATTCTTCTGTACATTTACAAAAATATTTTTCAGTATTTTCATTCCATAAACATGTCCCATTATTTTGACAGGGATTTTTTAATTGTAAATCACATAAATTAGGTATTAATTGTTGTTTTTGGTTATTTAATTCTTTTTTATTTTGTAAATTTGTTAAAAATTTTGGTTTTGTTGGTCCATAATTTTTTCCCATTTTTTTATTTTTTTCGACCAAATAATTTTCATTTTGATCTTTTTCATTAATCTTTTTATTATTTTGATTAATTAATTGAGAATTAAATAGGGAATTAATTAATTTTTGTTTATTTGGAGAGTAATGTTGTCTGTGGGGATGTGAAATAATTCGAGTTGTTGGATTTTTAAAAGTTGCTGTTATTAAATGATGGTTACCTTAAAATTAATTTTTTTTTAATTTTTAAAAAATATTTTTAGAAAAATTTATTTATTTTCTGTTAATGATGGAGAGACAAGAGATTTGTTGAGAAGCTGAAAAATTTTGTTTAAATCCGAAAAATCAATATTTCAAAGTCAAAGCAAATCATCGGTTCTGGACCGAACCGAGCATCGTCTCAGCCGAAGATCGGTTTTTCGGTTCGGTTTCGGATATTCGAAAAATTTCCAGGAACCATCAACCCTAATCAAGAAAAGAAAAATGTTAGAGAGCACAGAGAAGGTTACTCTTCTCGTGTTTAATTCGTTTGACTCTTAGGTGTATGACAATTAAGTACATTTGAGTCTTGAATTCTACTAAATAATTTTTGTTTTTATAATTACTTTCTTGTCTAGAATTTTATTAAGTGAAATTTTAAGGAAAATCGAAAATTCTAAAATTTTAAATAAAAATAATTTAAATAAAAATTGCCTCGATAATTTATTCTTTGTTTTCCCCCATAATTTGCCTCAGTTGTTAGCCTTAACCAATTTAGTTCTGATTTTTTATTTTTATCGTCGAATTTTTCAGAACATTCTGAATTATTTAAATTAATTATAATCTTTCCATTTTATTTCAAATAATAAAATCAGAAATAATTAGTAGATTATATTCTCTCCCAATAAGTATGGGGGAAAAGCCGCTTTTTATAACAAAAATATACCTATTCTGATTTAATTTTAACAAAAAATTCGGCTCTTGTCCAGTTTATGCGTCCCATGAAAGTATATGCGTCCCATCAACAAAAAATTGAATATTTCTTGGTGTTGCAAAGTAGGGGTATGGTTCGAAAGCATTTCTTCATGTTCGGGATCTACGTCCACTGGGTCTGGGACCGTTCCTTACCATATACCTCGAAAATTCTTAAAGTTAAAATCGTTTTTCTGAAATTTTTAAAATTGGCTATAACTTTCAGAAATTTCTAAGGATAGGGTAATGAACGGTCCCAGACCCAGTGGACGTAGATCCCGAACATGAAGAAATGCTTTGGAACCATACCCCTACTTTGCAACACCAAGAAATATCTAATTTTTTGTTGATGGGACGCATATACTTTCATGGGACGCATAAACTGGACAAGAGCCAAAAATTCTGATATAATTCAAGTACTAAAATTAATTCTGATTTAATTTATTTGTTAAAGAAAAATCAGAAAATCCAACTTTTTTCTCTTTCGCATAATTGCTGGCAGTCATTAAGTGAATTAAAAAAATTTAGAGAACTGCTAGGACAGCCATCATACCGAAAAAAAAAATTCTTTTTTGGCCAAATAATTTTTAATATTACCAAAACAATGTACATTTTCTTGTGCTCAATTCAAAGTAATATTTCTCTGTCCATTCACCTACAGTGAATAAATAAAAATATTTTTAAAATGTCCAATAAAATTGGATTTTGATATAAAAAATTGATAAGAAAAGAAAGTTTTATTCAGTTAGGTGATAAAAAGAGTTGCGTTTTTGTAATACGGGAGCATATAAGCTCATAATATTCTGATCACTTTGTAGCTCAGGATCTCCTCTGTATTTTAACAAATAACCCTTGAAACAAGGGGAAGTACCTATTTATCAATATCTTGGGGAAATTTATAAAATAAACAGAACGAATTTTACGCTTACCTATGTTCTTTATGGGTTTATCTATAAAAATCTAAAATTTTAGCTTTTTCGGTTAGGTACTTCAAGAGTTAAGGACGAAAAAGTCAAATCTGGCAAATGTTACAAATTTAAAATTTTCTTTAAAAAATTTTCGGTTTGATAGTTTTGGATTGAATATAAATCAGAATTATATAGGTATTATTTTCAGAATTATTTTCACCTCTCATACATTGCCTAGTCAACCCAATATCAAATTTATCTAAACATTTTGAATTTAATTGTGTTTGATGTTGTTGTAGATTTACAGATTTTGAACAAATAAATAAAAGAAACATTAACGAAAACATTTTAATATTAAAAACATTTGCATTTTCTTTAAAAATGAACAGGAAAAAATATTTTTATAAAAATTTTGGAAATTTGATAAAAAAAATTTTGGAAATTAAATTTATAAATTTTTGAACATTTTTTGGAAATTCTTCGAAAAATTAAATTCCTTGGAGACAAAAAATGGAACATGCAAAAATTAGTAAAATAAAGAAATTTTTGGGAAAATCTTTTTCAAAATTTAATAAAATAATCAAAAATTTATGTCGTTAAAAATAGATCTAAAGATATAGAGACTTAGATTAATGAAAAATTTGAAAAAAAATTTCCCCCCACATGCAGTGCTTTTTGAAAAAAAAACCTTTTATGTAGATACTAGAGATCGGTCTATATCTGGATCCAGTATGGATTTTTCCTGGATTTTTTTCAAGAACCCTGTCCAGGCTACTAACCAAATCCAGAGTCCAGAATCAAGACCCAGGATTTGTAAAAATACCGATCTCTAGTGGATACTACTGGGGTTGGAAAAATCATAATTCATAATGAGGAAATTTTAATTTGTAATGACTATGTTATGCAATTACACATCAATTTGAGGAGTAGCTAATTTTATTGGTATTTCTAGAGAATCAATGAAAAAAAATTTCTATAAAATTCAATACCAAAAATAAATTTAAAAATAATTTGGAGAACCAAAGGTCGTCCTTTTAATAGATTATTTTTTTGTTAAATTGGGATATTTTTCTTTTACATAGACAACACAAAACTTTTCTTAGAGCCGGATATAGCAAATAATAATTGAGAGGAAATATGTACATGGGAGTAAAAAAAGGAAATCACGGCCAATTCTGTCCCTAGAGATGAGAGAGGGGGAATTTTGTCTCCCAAAAAAATATTTTTAGAAAAAAATTTAAAAATTAAAAAAAATTTTTTTTAAATATTTTTAGAACATTTAAATTCTTTTTTTGTATATACACAGATATAAATACAAATATATAAACATCCCACCAACTGGGAAAAATGGGGAAAATATTTACAATTGTTAGAGGGGATAAGAGGAAAGACAATTAAATATAGGTCTCCTATTAGAATTTATTAAATATTTAATTTATTTTGCCTAAATAATTTTTTAGAAGTACAAATTTATATTTTGTACTTTTCAGCATTATCTACATCATTATTTTTATGGATTCGGTCGCGTAGTTTTTTCGTTGTTGTTACCTTCCTTTCTTGGCATGTGATTCAGCTGCAGAGAACGCTTTTCTGGTGCACAGTCACAAAAGTCCCCACAAAATGGATGACCAAAACCGCAAACTTCAGCAGTCAGACGGCAACGAGGATAGTATCTAAAATGAGATGATTGAGGATTTTTTGGAGAAATGCTAAGGATGGCTCCTCACAACGAACGGACTGACAAGCAAAAAGTGTCCACTCAGAGTATAGCCATCCTTTCAAAAACCCCAAAACTTACTGGCAACGTTCGCGTGGATGCCAAAGAGGACAATTTGGCTCATCAATTCGATGCTTTGGCTTGTCCCACCTTGGACATTGCCTTGCTGGCTTGACGAATTTCAGGCTGTTCAAATTTATCCCATTGACAATTGATCTGAAAAAATTCCACCATTAAAAATTCCAAAATTAAACTCTCACCGTCCATTAATCTTCGGCCCTCCTTCAATCTCTTTAGCATTAACTGGGCTGCGAATGTTCCTATCAAACCATTTACTACGTGGAGACAAAATTTGCGACTGCTCCGTTTGAATATTGGTCCCTCGGTTGAATGTTCCAATCTGTGACATCAAAGGAGCGGCAGAAGATGCGGGCGGTGCAGCATTGTTGGTATGTTCCTTCTTTGGATCAAGAGTCCGCTTAACAGCCATTGCATAGTTATTCGTCCCTGCACCTCCAGTTGGTCGATGGTGAGGCAAATTTGTGATCCGAAGCTGTGCCTGTTGTGGAGATGGTGAACAACGGACAGCTGGACTCGAGACAATAGCTTTTGATGGCGATTCTTGAGCCTTTGTGAATGAAATGTCTTCAAATTTGCTTTGGTTCTTGAAATTTCTGGTGATTTCCAACTTAAATTATAATTTAGCAAAGGTCTCTTTACAACTAGCACTAACCAATGCACGAATGCCATCACTCATTTCTTCTTCTGGCTTATTCATACTGCTGAAATCCATGGCTCTTGTAGATGAACTGAAAATATTTTTATGAATAACCGCAGGAATATCCAAGTACAAAGTCTCACTCACCTTCCACCAAACGGAGACCAACCGGAACCAGAAAACTGCGGAGCGTCGCTTCCTGTCGATGTTGATTGGAAGAAGCCATACTCGCCAAAAGTTCCGTTGAAGTCCCAAATTGGGTTGAAGCTCATTGAGGCACTCAGTGGCAGAATGCTGAGAATTAGAGCGACGGAAGTGCTAAACAAGGCGTTAAATAAATTGGCGATCGCCGTCCACCGTCGAGAATTGATACAAGTGGCATGACCCTTTTTAAGTTTGTGTTTTTATACCCAAATTTTAAACAAATTTTTGCCTGTAAATACAGTGTGCATTAGAGTTGGGCACGGTGCCGTATTACCGCGGTATTTTTCGGTAATACCGCGGTATTTTTACCGAAATGCCGATACCGATACCGCAAAATCGCGTTTGCCCAACACTAGTGTGCATACGGTCAGCTACTTTGAAAAAATGCACTAAATATTAAGTTTGGCATAATGTTTTTATTCGAAATTTTGTCCAAGTTTTTATTTCTTTTTTACCGGATTAAAGAGGATTTTCTTCTTCACATCTTCTTTATGCTTTTTGTTTATTCCTAGGGTTCCGTGACTTTTGCGCCGAGAACATTTGCGCCGCGACTTATGCGCCGGGGGACTTTTGCGCCGGGGGACTTTTGCGCCGGACGACTTTTGCGCCGCCACTATCATTAATAATTATGAAAAACTATTGCCAGACCTTACTATAGAAGATGTAGGTTAGTTGGAGATCTTCGGATATCAAGATCCGGATCCGATATCCGACCTAAAATTTTCGGCTATCCGGCCTTTTTCAGATCCGGATATCTGGACCCGACAACCCTACAATATAGAGCACCCTCTTCTGGCAGAAAATCATGCCTGAATGAGGGTAGCAGACCAAATATCCTGATCCGAGAAAGTCAAGTTCTTTGAAGATGAAACCTCTAGGGGGTCGGTTTATTAGAGGGGCCATTGTATTTCCGAAATATTGTACTTCCTGAAATTCCTTCAGCTCCTGGATACCATTTTTTAAAAAGTACACTATAATTATGTCCGACTGTATATATTATTTTTTTTAAAATTATGGCGGCGCAAATGTCGCGGCGCAAAAGTCGCGGCGCAAAAGTCGCCCGGCGCATAAGTCGCAGCGCAAAAGTCGCGGCGCAAAAGTCGCCCGGCGCATAAGTCGCAGCGCAAAAGTCGCGGCGCAAAAGTCGCCCGGCGCATAAGTCGCGGCGCAAAAGTCGCGGCGCAAATGTTCTCGGCGCAAAAGTCGTGATACCATTCCTAGTAAATGTTTCAATTAGTGACCGGCAAAATCGATTTTGCCGGACCGGATCCGGATTTTTAACTTGAACCGGACCGGATCCGACCGGATTTTTCCGGATTAATCCGGTCCGGTTTTAGTCCGGAAATATCAAAAAAAAATCCGGATTTGGGACCCGGACTCCGGGAAAATCCGGTCCGGTGCCGGTCACTAGTTTCAATACTAGACTCCTTTGTATTTCTATTCTCAGCATAAATTCCCCCTTTTTTACCAGGCTATAACAATGCAAAATGGTTTTAGTGATGATTTAAATGAACTAGAAATTTCATCAGTAAATGTTGAACCACTTAATAACCGAGAAAAATTAGTAAATATTTTTGTATATTTTACTAATTTCTAACTAAAATTTAGGGGCGCCCAGTTTACAAAAATCTCTGTCCCGACTTCAAAGAGCGAACTGCATGTCTTCACCGAGACCTTATTTCCGATTGGATATCCCTTCTTTTAGCTGAAAACCGTGAACGAGTTGAAAACGTTGATGATACGTTTAAATGCTTTGTGAACCCCAAAAGTGTGGAGTATCTGTTTACTGTTTGTTTGCGGTTACAACTTCCACCGGATGTTAAATATATTGCTTTGGAAATTTATAACAAGTGAGTTTTGTTTTAAATTATTTTTTTAAGCTAAGACGTGAATGGGTTGATTTTTTGTTTATTAGGTAAAAATACAAGCTTATGACTAGATTGCGGCAAAATCGCATTTTCGCGATCCCGTAACAGGATTGAGTTTGTAAAAATCGAACGGGAGTGATCCCGCGGGATTAAGCCCGTTCCGGTAATCCCGCTCGTCGCTAAACCTGGATTCCCGGACGGAATCCCGTAAAATCCCGCCCGGGATCCCTCCCGTGCCTCACTCTAATTGTGACTCATGCAAGGTTCCTTAAGCCTTCATTAAGTAGTGTTTCCCTCGTTCCCGAATCTTACAATTAGTCACGCTGGACGACAACCTTTTTTGTTTTTCTTGGTCAATTATCGTTTTAAATCCTATAATTATTACCCTAATACTTTTCCAGATTTATGACTCTCCATACAACTTCCCTATATGAAGCAATTAATTCTCAAAAGAGTTTATCAGTTATGCAAAAGGAGGAAAAATGGGAACAAATATTTACAACAGTTTCAAGACAAGTAGCATTGAGAATACTTTCTTCTGTTCAAATTGCCTCTAAACTTCACAGCTACAGCATGGTCCTTTCCTCATTTATTTAATAAAAATTTTCCCTCTTATTTAAGGGTCTAACAATTGACAGAGTACGTTATTGTCTTCAATTACTTGGCTATGCTTATACTGAACAGTCTATACGAAAATCAGAAATACGCGTTTTGATGGCCATTGGATGGTGTGCAAATGTTATGCAAACGCCTGTTACTTATATTGAAACTTTTCTTCACACAATTTGTGAGTTTTTCACGAAAATACAGTAAATCTAGTTTTAAGATCGTCTCAATTGTCATCTAGAAATGAACACCCGTGCTTTGTGGGATTATTCTTTACTCATTATGGATTGTATATTTTTGCATTCAGAAGAGTTTTATCAACGAGTTGCAATTGTTGCGCATGGAAATAATGCACAATATGTGCCTATGTAGGTAGTTTAGTGATTAATATTAGAGGAACTTTTAGGTAGTTGATAGGTTATTTGCAGCTAGCGTTGCCGTTTTCAAGTCGGGCCGACGGTCGAGGCATTATTTTTGGGCCTATTTTTATCGAATCGGGCCTGTACGAGTCTTTTTTGAGCCAAACATCTAGGCCCGACTCGATCGTTCGGTCCGAGTCGGTCCATTTTGACAACCCTATTTGCAGAGACCCAAAACTTAATTTTTTAGTATTCGTAGTCCATTTTAGGATTTTGATTTATCGTAAATGCTCTAATATTTGCCTGTCTCTAATAGAAGCCCATCTATAACATAAGCCCACTCAAAGTGACCTATTGAAAAATATAGGCCCACGGCTTATATTAGAGCATTTAAGGTATACATGGCTTGATCTACATGGTCTAGGGGGCCTCGAATCTGATAATAACCCCGAAATTTTGATAAATTTTTATATTGCGGTCCCTAATTTAATATAAAATATTTTTAGGAAACGACTAGGCCGAATCGAAGCAGATTATGTTTTATTAGCCTCAGGCGTTATAGTTGCCGCTTGTATTTGTGTACATGGAGAAGACTTTGTTGGAACTGTGTTAATAACATTACAAAAAACAACTGGTATACCTGTTGACTCAATAAGGGATTTTTATGTTGGAATATACCAAACTGTTAGTTTTCTTTGATTTTTTTGGAAATATTTTTAATTTTTTAGATACAAGACCATGAAGTTGCTGTGAGTTTTTGCTTGTTTTAAATTAATTTTTTTCCTTTTTTAACTTTTAGCATCCACTAGAAACGTCTGATTTGAGGAGAAATCTTTAACTTTAAAAAAAATTTTTCAAAAATATTGAAGTGAATAATTTAAACATTTTTTGTGTTATTTAAACTAGTGACAGAGTTACCCTTAAATTTTGATTTAAATTTTTGTTTTGCTGTACAAATTGATATATAATTTTAAATTTTTCTCACTTTTACATTTTTTGAATAAATGACTCCTTTTTCTGCATTTTGCTATTAGATTTTTTAATGGATTAATTCCAAAAAAAATATTTTCTCAATTCCAAAATATTTTTTTCGGAAATTTTAAATTAATGGGGGGATTGCCAAAAATAAATTTTTCAAAAATTTCCAGTTAAAAATTAAATTTATTTATTTGCCAATTTTTTGCGCATTTTTTCCTTCGGGCAATCAAGTAACTCTCATTTAGCTTTCCCTTAAATTTAATTTTTAATTGAAATTTTTTGCCTATGTAAACCTTTCAAAATGAGTGTTGTAAATCCTGGAAATATTGTTACCCAACCAATTACTTCGCCTGGTCCAGAATTTATTTACTTAACCTCAGCAGAAACTGAAGATGATCTCAATTCTATAAAATGTGCAAATCAAGTTCATTTCAAATCTTATTCTTCAAAAAATTGTTGGACAAAGTTTGTGGTTTTTTTGTTAAATTTTTGATTAATTTTTTTAGTAAAATTTTAAAAAATTCTGTTATTTCAGATATGAATGCGAGAGAAGTTCCTCCGTCCACGGCAAATGTAAATTTCTTTTGTTGGCAGCTAGTTGTGATCCTAACGACGTTCATAGGCTTTTTAATATTTATTTTAGTGGAGTACACAATCATGAAGTTGAGCAAAGTGGTTTGTTTATTTTTTATTTCCATTAATTTTGGCTGAGTTCAAACTGTTTTTTTGAAATATAAACTTCGTTACCAAAAAATTAGGGAGAAATCGTCGGAACCTGAAAAATGCCTTGACACTGGATCCAGTGAAAATAAAGATGGTCTGGAGTCAGAAAATCCGGGTCACTCTTTTCTTGGTCCTAACCAGTGGGTTGAAGCTCGTACCAAAATTCGTACTCGTACCTTTGTGCGGAGTACGTGCAATTTTCAAAATTCCAACCACTGTTCCTGCAGCAAAATTTGACGCCTTTTTACAATGAACCCTGAAATACCTAATTTATTTGACATAAAGTTTCCACTATATACTAGATCTTTGATTTTTTTTAGAAATTTAAATTATTAAAATTAAAAATGAAAAAAATCTAATTTTTTTAGAAAGAGTTCCTTCCAGAAATATAATGCAAAACACTGAAAATTCTGTTGTAAATAATGACGATGACATCCAAATCTTGTCTGACACAATTTTTGAAAATTCAAATACAGCAGAGACATCACCAACAAATCAGCCAGCGGTTTTTCTTTAAAAAATATTTTTTTTCTAAATTTATTAATTTAGCTCAATGAAATTAGAAAGAAATTTCCTTTTTTCAGAAGTTTGTTTATTTTTTAATTAAATAATTTCTTTTTTTTTACAATTTCAGCTTGCCAAAGCTTTAATCATCTCGAGAATTTACGACGTTCCGAAGGTCTTTTGATTGACAAACAGTTTAATGTAGTCAATGGAATTCCAGGTTATTTTTATTGTTTTTTTTGTGAAATATAGTTGAAAATTGATTTTTGTTTTAAAAGGCGGACTTTACTCTCTTTTTTTCGTTTTTGAAAATTTATTACCTTGGGATAAAATTTTTTTCAGAAATCAAAAAATTTCATAATTCTTAAGGTACTTTTCGGTTATCCCTACAGACTTTTGCCTTCACGATTGATTAGTGTTTAGATGAGGGAGGGAGGAACTCTGACCATTAAATACAAAAGTCTGTAGGGGTAACCGACAAATACCATTCTTAATTTTTCTCCGAAAAATTTTCCTATTTTTTGCACGGAACCCTCACAGCTTGTTTTTTAAAATTTTATAAAAAAATTCTCGTCCTTCAAATTCTTGTCCCCCTTGAAATTTTTTAACCTTTATTTTAATCAATTTTTAAAAATTCATATCTTTTTCAGAAGTTGTCTATTACCGTTGTAAAATAAACCTTCAATGTCCATTTACATTACAAGCAGTGTATAACAATGTAATTTTAAATTTTGATTATTTTTTTAATCTTAAAATTTTTAGAAGACTGGTTTCTTTGAATTATACGCACCTTTAAATAATAATCACTTCCATTCTTCTTCTAGTGATCCAAATTCTAGTTCAAATAATGTGTCCGTTAATGGAAATTTGCAGCAAAATTTTACAATGGAAGGTATAAAATTTGAATTTTTTAAAGTTTGGGGCAACTTTTATGAGTTTTAAAATTCTTTTTCCAAAGAAATTTTTTAATTTTCCTAATCCCCTCGGGTTTGTTGGAATTCCACGAGGGACTCGAAAAAGTTCATTTATATACAACAGAGATTTAGCCGACATAAAAATTAAATTCCCGTTTTCCCGACCCAGAAACGTCGGGACTGATGTTCGGAGCTTTACTGAAATTACTGAAGCCTTTACTGAATATTTCTAGCCTTTACTGAAATAGGACTCTTGCTTTTCTTTAAATATAAAATCTAAAAATTAAAAAAAAATTTTTTTTTCAATTTAGGAATAATGCCATGTTCTTCAAATATGCTAAATGGAGGTTTTTTTATTTTGTTAACTTTTCTAAATTTAAAAATTTTTTAGAGTCAATTAAATTAAAAAGAAGACTTATAAATGTAAATTTAAGTGAATGGAATTATATTGGTGAATATCAAAATGAGGAAGCTTTTGAAATCCTTCGAGTTCAACGAAAAGTTTCCCCTTTACGGGAAAGAGGAAAACAATTTCTTACTTTGAGACAACAAACACTTAAGGTTTTTTTTTAATTTTATTAGAAAATTAAAAAAAAAATTTTTAAAGTGTTATTTTCGAAAGCCAGAAAAGGGAAAATGTCGCTACCGAATGTTGATATTTCGTGAATGGGATGGACAGCCTGCACAGGTTTATGAGAAAGGTTTTTTAAATTTTTTAGAATATTTTTATTGTTTTGTTGAGAAGTGAATTTTATAATGGGAAAGTGATGGCTCCCCTTTTCAAAGATGTCTCAATATTTTTGACTTTCTTCGTCTCTTCGGGCATTTTTTAAAAAGCTAGTTCCCCTTCCCTTTTATTTTTCTAAATTTTGTCTGGGATTTATTTTGGAAATTTTTGACATTGAAGCAAAAAGAAAAAGTTTATTAAGAATTTCTTGCTAAATGTGGTCTTTTTTTGGTCATGTTTTGGAAGTCGGGGGTTTCGTCCGCTCCGTAATACTTTGGCTGACGCCTCCTTTTTCCTGGTTATTTTTACCTCCTTACCTATTCTTTTCTTATTATTAAGTTTGGTTGTTAGTTGGAAATTTTCGGGCCAAAGGATCAGATTTCTTCCTTTTTCCTAATTCTAGGAGAACCTAAATTTTCGGATATCCGAACCAAAAATTTGCGGATATCCATGCCTTTTTTCGGATCCGGATCCTTATGTATAAATTCGGCGAAGACTGACCATAATCCGTAAGTAAAACTTCCTCACTTTCATTAAATTTAAAATTTTAATATAAATTTTTAGGTGTGCATAATCACAAACCAAAACCGCTTAAACAATCTGAAATTTTGTCGATTGAACAAGCAAAACAATATTATGAAAGCATAATGAGTTCATTTATTCAACAAAATCCTGAAAATAATTCTTCATTGCCTTTACAAATACCTCAACAACAAAATTGTTATACCCCAACAACTTCTAAAGAAGGAAATAATAATGGAAAAATTTCAAATTGTGATTCTTGGAAAATTAATGGAATGAGAAATATTGGATGGAGATTTTCGTTAGCAAGTTGTTTTTCTGAGTTGAGAACTTTGGCAGATGGATTTTTGTTGGACTTGTCTTGTACAGAGTAAGGGTTATTTTTTTAGAGAATTTAATTTTTTGATAGAGATAGAATTTAGAAATTTTTGGGGGTTTTTGGTTTACCGAGCTTGATGGGTTGGTAGTTGAGTATAAGCTTGAAGTTACTGAAAAACATGTTCTAGAAGTGTATGGGAGGCTAAAAACTTTTAGCACAGGCTATAGGAACAGATGAAACCTAGGCCTTGTCAATAATAATTAAAATTTGAATGGGATTAAAACCGATCCTAAAATCCTCAAAATCTGATTTTAAAGTGGTATTAGCCTATCTCTATTTTTAAAATATGGGTGGCGGTTTCTGGATATCCGGAAACACCAAACCTTAATTTGGGGTGGCAAAAGGATTCTTCTTTGCAATTTTCCCTCTCTCAAAATCCCGAATTCTTGCCTATTCACAAGTCTTTAATAAAAAAAATTTTTTTTAAAGAGAATCAATGGTATTCAAAAGACGAGACAATCGAAATACTTTCCTTATCGTATCAGAATGTGGTCCACACAAGGAGGGTTTAAATGTAGAGGAATGTCGGAATGGGTGTTTTAGTGATCATAGTGAACAGTGGATTAAAGGCGATAAACTTCAATTTATTCGTGCTATGCGAACACGAATTCATGAATTTATGGAGCAACGGAATCTCTGATAATTAATTTAAATGTGATTGGGATTTTTGAGGTTTTTTAATCATTTTGGTGTCAGAAAGTTGTTTATGAATAATGATTTATTTAATAAAGTGATATTTAAATAAAATCAAAAAATTCAGAAATAGATTTAGGGATTAAATGCACCCGTCATCCGTAATTAGGGTTGGATTTTTCGAACCGGTCCAACGTTCGAGTCATTTTTTCGGGTCTCATCTTCATCGAACTGTGCCGTTCGAGTCTTTCGGGCCAAATTCGAAGTTGGGTCCGATTTTTTGAACCGGGCCCCCAACCCTATCCGGAATATACAGGGGTGTTTGGGAGCCATAACTCTCGAAAATTTTTCCCCAAAATAAAAATGTGTCCCAAAAATTAATTCAGTAAACCTTTAAAAAATTGAATATTTTATTCCTTTACATTAGTAAATTGAAGAGAAAAATTGAAAAAAGGAAAAATGAAAATTTTTTGCAAGGCTCTCTGACAATTTCTTAAGCTGGACAAAAGTGATTCTCGAAAAGTGAATTCTCGTCAAATTCTTTAATTAATCGCAACAGTCAGCTATGCAACAACCACAGCAAAGAGCCAACAATGCCCAAAGACAACAATTGTTGTCACGAGATGGCCGGTTCCTTTCTACCACGCTGAAATTTGAAAATTTTTTTAAAAAAGCCAGGGGAAAGCTATGAATGTTTTGTGAGTACCCGGGTAATAATCTGGGTCACTTCCGTTGTGTTAACCAAAAATACTATCAATTCTCCTATTTCCGAAAGCAAGGAATGAACATAAAAATATTCAGTGCCCAAGTCCTCGAAAATACAAAGTAGATCCCGGTGCAAAAAAGATTTCGCAACTCGCAATCCGCAATTTTTTTAAAATCCGCAAACGCAATCCGCAATTTTTTAAAATCCGCAATTGCGTGTAGCCCTGTCCCTGGGAATCTTCCACCCCTAGTATTCACTTCCTTTTTTCATTGTTTTCTGGAAGAAAAATAAATTTAAACTTACACAACTTGTGGCTGCTGTTGTGGATACCCTGGATATTGACCTCCATAGGCATATCCCGGTTGTGGCTGACCGTAATTAGGTTGAGGCTGTGGTGGATAACAATTGTATTGAGGATTGTAAGGTGGCGGAGCAGACATTTTTAATATTTTATTTGAAAATTATATGTTTAAAAATACAAATGTTTAGTTTTTTTGCGCAGTGATGTGAAAAGGATTTAAATCAATGGGGGGAATGAGTCATACCTTTTGAACAAACAATTAGAGGGATGAGGGAGTTAAAATTCCTCTTTCATTCGATAAATGAAAGAGGGGAAAAGTGTATGATAGGGAACCGAATTTCAAAATAAGAGGTAGAAATGGTCAAACGACAGAAAATTTCAACAGAAGACAAATTTGTGGCAGATTTTCTTGCTTTGTGGGAGGTGTTTGAAATTTTAAATTCGCTCATATTCGAACCGTCGTACAGGCCTTACACGTACACAGCAGGGTCCTGCCGCCCCGATGAATGGAAATCTATTTCTTATTGGCAGGACCCTTGGTACAAAGGTACGAGTACGAATTTTGGTACTAGTCTCCAAAAACAATGACCTACGAAAAATAAATTAAAAACGCCAAAATTCTAAATAATTAAAAAAAAATTTTTAGAATACTAAACAGGTGAATAAAAGTTTGAAAAATATACAAAGTAACAATAAACATTTTGAGGGAAAAAGAACGGGGAATCGATTGTTTAGCGAATAGCGCGCATAGAATAACACAACCTGACACGTCATGGAAAAACCACATGATGAAATTTAATCACCTCCATAAAAAGAATATTTTTTTGCTTGAGAATAAGCTTACAAGTGAATTCTAAATATTAATTAGGGAGGAATTATGTAAAGCCTAACAAAGATAATTTTTAAAAATTACAAAAATAATTATTAAAGAATTGGAGTCAACCCTGAAGACCTGCACTTTAAATGCCAAGTGACCATGAAGACCTACAACCTTTGAAAGATAATATCGAGGGATTTAAGAAGATATCGATGGAGAAGCTGAAGAGGTCAACCAGATTGGAGGAGTTATAAGGTGATATCGTTGGATTTGGTGTGATTGAAACGGATCTCTCTACTCACCCAGAGTTCTGCTACAAACTTAAAACTGAATCATAGGTTCTAAAATACAGAACTTTCCAGAGCCGGGCACCTATCCTCTTTAATTCCCAGATATCCCCCTTTCAAAAGTGGTAGGTTCTCAGGGTGTAAATCTTCAGGGATGGACTCAAAAAAAAAATAAAATCTATGGCCAAATTCAAGCCATTTCTTTAAACAAAAACCATTCTAATTAAAAAATATTTTTTATCGGGTAAAGAGAATTACAAATTATTTATTTTCTATAATTATATGCTTTTATATTCCAAAAATAGGTAAAAAATACTTCCTTTAAAAAGAGCCAAGTCCTTTTCCTCTACGAGAAAATTGGGTATGTCGAGCCGTTTCTATAAAAGAAAAATGTTTTTATGAAAAATATTTTTATAAAACTATTTAAATAGAGGGAAACGAGAATCGATTTATGAGTAATACGGAAGTTAATACGATTTTAAAAATGTGATAAGGTCTATGAATCATTATTTTAGGACGAAAGGAAGTTTTTTTGACTGAAGAAAAAATTTTTTTGATAATTTTCAGACAATTTTTTGTAAGACGAAACATTAATATGACTCAATTATTTTCGTGTAAATTTAAGAAATCCGTATAAGCTGGACTATGGGCCGGGCCAAAGATAGGGATTTTCAGGCTCTACAGCCCGGAACTAGTTATTTTGATCGAGATTTTTGAAAAGCCTGGGCCTGTTCCTGGACTCTAGGTTTGATTTATTGACCAGGGCCTGTAGTCCTGGGAAAACCCAGGCCTTGGACCAGACCCTGCTCGATCTCTACTAGGTGTTTTGATAAAATCTTGCTTTTCTGGCTTTTTGGGGCCTTAACCCGGGAAGCGAGACGGGCAATTTGAAATTGTTGAACTCTGCTAAAAACCTCTAAAAACGAATGGGTTATTTTATGGAAAGATTCAAAAAAATCTCAAGTCTTTTCCCCAAATTTCACCCAAAAAGAAGGAATATACCCCCACAATAAATTAAAATACCATATTGAATATCCAATTTTCGTTGAAGTTCCAATTGTCTAAGTCGTTCTTTTTCCAAATCTTCAGCATTAAGTGATGGTGCTTGCTTCTCAGGATCATCAGATTGAGATTTTTCTTGAGCCTTTTCATTGTCAGAATTCTTTTTAAGTCCCATCACTAAAAAATTTTTTTTGTTAAAAATATAAATTCGAATTATGTAAGAGGCTTTTGGTTTTTAACTATTGTTAATGAAGGAGAATTTAGCAAACGGTTATCGATTTTTAACTCGAATTATTTGGAATAAATGCCCAAAATCGTTAGATGACAAAAGATCCCAGTAAAAATTTTTTTTAAATTTATTATTAAAATCTCAATAAATTAAAGAATTAAATAAACTAAAAATCTAATCCCCAAAAAATACAAAAAAACCCAAAAACCAACATCTCTGAAATTTATCCATTTGATTTGTGTCTTTAGCAGAAGCAGCTATCATTGATGTCCATTTGTTCTCCAATTTCTTCTCGCTCTTCTCAGGTTTGTTTCCAGCAGAGGAAGAGGTTGGGTGCAAACGAGGGCCAAATTCTTCGTCATCACTCGTATTCTTTTCGTCCCCAGATTTTCCATCCAAAGCAGCATTTCCTCCTTTCCACAGCAGTTTGCGCTCCTGACCGGTGTTTTTGATTCACAATTTGGCCAAAAAGCAAATTGAACAGCCATTCGGCTTAGGTTGGAAACTTTTCATGGGAAGGGGGTAATTTGGAAAAAATTCAAAAATCGAAAAAATTTTCAAAAAAAATTTCAAGTTTCATACCCTTTGGCCTGTCTGTACACATTTTAATACCTGAATCTTTTCTGCATGGCGTTTCACTTTTGCATTATCCCAAGCAGGTCGGGAACCTCGTTCCGGCTCGTCTTCATCATATTCTCGTTTTGGACATTCCCTTCTTCTTGGAGGCCTTCTATCGTTGTAATCGTCATATTCTGTACGCCGTCGGGGACGGTCTGAATCGTACCTATCAGAGTCGTAACGACGTTCGCTCTTTGAGGATCTGCTGCGTTCATTGTCATCGCGCTCCTTGTAGCGATCACCAGTGGTGTGACGATAGTCAACGCGGCGCTCATCTCTCGAAATCCTTAAATTTTTGGGGATTAAATTTTTGGGAGTAAATCAAATTTAATTTTTAGAGATCGGCAGGGATCTAAACAAATAATCTTCCTGGAAGGGCCAAGACGACGATTTCGATTTTTCGGTATTCCTCAATTTTTCCTTGATTCAAGGTGCACTACCCAAAAGGAATGCCGGCATCAAATTTTCATTTCTTTTTCGATCGGGAAAGGAAAAGGTTACAATTTGATTTTTGACATAGGTCAGGAGCGCAAACCCATTCGAGGAAGAAAGGAAAAATTGGATGCCGGCATTCCTTACGGATAGTGGCATTCAAAGTCAAGAATCTGGTCAAGGTTCTCAACCAAAGTCAAAACTTATAAAATTTCCGATCCCTATTAAGTTTAGTAAAAGAAAATCAGCAAGGGTCTCGAAAAAAAAACTAAATTAAAAAAATTAAATAATTAACCTTTTGGAGACGCTATTCCCGCAATAATCGGAACCAATTTCGTCATCTTCATGCCTTCTTTTGCTCTATTAAAACAAAATATTAAAATAATTAAGAAAATTAAACAAACCATTGTCGATAAAACGCAAATCCTTTTGATTGAGATTAGAAAGAATTAAAGAAAAAATCTAAAAAATTGAGCGGAAATAAATTATGAATTGTCCGGTTTGTTGAGAGTTTGCCGTTTTATCGCCAATAATTTATCTAGTGACAGTAGATTATAGAGTCCGGCGCGGGAGGGATCCCGGCAGGATTTTACGGGATTCCGACCTGGAATACCGGTTTTACGCGAAGACGGGACCAGGGCACGCATAAGCAACCGAGGCACGCATTTAGCGACAAAACAAATTCTTAGAGCGTATCTCTACGAAACCAAAATCATTATTCATTTTATCCTGACAACCGTATCGACTATACGGATGAATAAAAATATTTTTTATGAGAATGTCTCAATAATCAAAAATTTTATTCAACATTTCAATGCCGTAAGGCAAAATAAATAAATAACAATTCAAATTTCCCGACCGTTGATGAAAAATAAATAAACAACTCATCAATTTTTACGCTGATGTTCAGAGGATTTTTGCGCAAAATCCGTTGTAGCATCCTCCGACAAAGTCGATGAAGTCGGCAAAGCCGCTGTAGAAGCATTCGACGAAGTAGACGAGGACGGCAAAGCCGCTGTAGCATCCTTCGAAAAAGTAGACGAGCTCGGCAAAGCCGTTGTAGCATCCTTCGACAAAGTCGATGAAGACGGCAACACCGCTGCCTCATAATCAGAGTACTTATATTCCACTTCATCAGTCGAAGCAGACCATCCGTCAAAAATGTCTGACCATCTAAATTTTAGAAAATTGATAGTTAGCTTATAGAACTTTATAAAACCGAATAAGCTCCTTTCTGTAAAGGTTTTCTTTCTTCTTCGTCAACTCGAACGTGGAATATTCACGGTTGCAATTTGTTCTCTCATAAACTTGTGAAGTATTGAAATATCTGCGCCATTCTAAAAAGTGGTAATAGCAAAATTATTTAAATGAAAAAATTACGAGGTTTCACTTGAATATTCATCTCCTCAATATTCACAACCTCGCATGTTGCTATTTTGAATAAAGTTTTTTCAGTCCGTTTGCGCACCGTGTTGTTGTTATTCTCCGCAAATGGCGTAACACTTCCAAAAAACTATAATAAAAACTATTATTTTTTGGAAAATATTTTTGAAATAAATAATTTCCAAAACTTTCCGAAATTTTTTAAAAATATCAAACATTAAAAAACTGTCTTAATCTTCTCTTCCTTATCAAGTATCGAACATTAGGTAATAGTTTGGAATTCGTCCCCTCCTTTTTTTCCTTTCTATTTTTTCCTAGTTTTTTCTCATTTTATGGCAAATTATATATCATTCGAAAGAGCTTTTCGAGCTGAGTCGAATAACATCAAAATTGACGAAAACTGACTCAAGCGAATAAAGTTGTGACCATTTATTTTATTCCCTTGCATTTGCACAAAAAGTTTGCCCAGCAAGGATTTAGCTTCCTAATTTTGGTAAGAATTATCAGGTATAGCCAATCTTGGTATCATTCAACCAAGTTCGAAGAGCTCTTTCGAATGATACATGATAAATTAAGTATCAAAGAAAAAAGCTCAAAATGGTGAGGGAAACGGTGAAAAAGGAGGGGGCGAATTCCAAACTATTACCGAAGCAGGAAACCTAAACATTATTTCAAAAGTGAAGATATACCTCTTTAGTGTTCGACAAAGTCGAAGTTTTGGGCGGCAAGGCCGCTGCGTTGATCCCATAAGCCGGTTTCTTCCAACAATTTTTAGGCCAGATGCATTCATTAACGGTGTGGCCTAAGCCATGGCAGTTCGTACACGGGATGTTATTTAAGTTATCCATAGATAATTTTATATTTTAAAATATTCTATAAAATAATTAGAAACAATAAAAATACAACCGTAATAAGAAAATTAAAGCATAGAATTATTAAAAGAATTTCTTGTAAAAAACAGTGGCGGGCTAACTCAAGGAATAGACCAAGGAAAGAAAAGTCAGGAACAACAAGTCAAGGAAAAGACAAGTCAAGGAACGACCAACTCACAGACCATACCAACCCAAGGAACAGAAAAGTCAAGAAACGACCAAATCAAGGAATACTTTAAAAAACAGAATTAAAAAAAATTCTGAAATATTCTGATTTTTAAAATATTCCATGATTTGGTCATTCCATTAGTTTGTCGTTTCTTGACCAATTCTTCCTTAAATTGGTATTCTTTGAATTGCCCTTCACCCTAAAAAACAATAAACCTTTCTAAAAATGAAATCAAATTTAACTTTAAAAATGAAGGAATGAATGTTAAGTTTTCCTTTCCTTTGCTTTTATATTCAAATTTAACACTTTTATTAACGGTAGGGGACACTTCAGTCCCGGGACGTTTCAGTCCCGAGCTCTACAACTCGAGAAGATTCGAGTAGTTTTTGGAACTCTTGGTATCGTTGGATAGAGAATTAATTAAGCTACAAAATAAGCTATTGATCGAAAATTTGATCGGCAGGTACCAAAGTTATGATTAAAAAACATGAAAAAAATGACTTTTTTTAAAAAAATGGCGGTTTTTTCATAATAACTTCATTATCAGTTGATAAGATTATTTTATCTTTGGTATCATTTTGTAGAGAATTTAATCCTTTATCCAGTGGTACTAAAAGTTCAAAAAATTATTTCCAAATTCCCGAGTTACGAGCTCGGGACTGAAACGGCCAGGGACTGATGTGGAATTCCTCGTTTTGCCCCTCACCCGTTTTCATCGCTATTACATGTATAAATTTATTCATTTGAGTTTTCAAAAAAATACCGAAAAATATCGCGGTATTTTTCCGGTATCGGTATACCGATACCGGAAAAACGGATTTGAATACACTAGTACATATTTCAGTTTCTTTGGATCATAAAATAAATTTATCCGCAGAAAAAATCCGCAGAAATCGAAGCCCTGATTAAGAGGGATATTGGTGGATTTGAGTGATATTCGGGCTTAGAATGTAGTAGAATTAAGGGGAATATAAGATTATTTGGAATATCGCGGAGATATTGTAATAGGATATCGGAGGATTAGGATGGTTTTTAATTAATTTATTACTACATCATATTTATTTGTTGTCAAGTCCAATTTTTCTTCATTTTCCTCAACATGAATACCTCCAATATAAACAATTTTTGGATGCTCTGGAAAATCTTTGAAATTAGCATATAAATGTTGATTAACAAAATGATAGCTAATTTTTTTAAATAATTTAATAAAATATTTATGCCGATTTTCATTGCTTATATTCATAATACCGGCCAATGTTTCGCTAACAGCAGTTTGATAAAACTCTTTATGTGAAGTTATTTGATATTCTTGTTCTTCCAAATTTTCCCAGAATCTTTCAGGTTTGAAATGACATACACCTTCTTGTGTAAATATCCAATCTCCAGGTCTTGGAATATTTATTGCTGGAATAACCAAACCTTTACGAATTCGTTTTAAAAGGTTAATTCCAAAAAATTGAAGATAACTAGAACGAATAATAAACGGAAAAACATTAAAAGTTTTTTCAATCCCCAAATATTCAAAAATGGCAAAAGAGCCAGCCATTTCAGCGAAATCGGCGATTCCAAAAGAATATTCTTGTTGACGAAGATAATTAAGAATGTGTTGATTTTCATTATTTATTAAATCTTAAAATTAAAATCATTAGTATTCTTGTCACATTGATGTATACATGGTATTTTAAAATTGAGAATTTCGCGTAAATTTTTTTTACTTTGAGGAAGTATGTACATATATCTAGAGCGGTAAAATCGCATTCCCGGGATCTCATAACAGGATTTTTTCAATATTTTATACGGGACGGGATCCCGCTGGATTAATCCCGGTAGTCCCGTTTTCTGCGAAAAACCCGGGATTCCGGGACGCGATACCGTAAAACCCGTCCCGTGCCGATCTCTAGTTATATGTGGATATAAAACCGATCTCTAGTTATATCCATCAATATCACACTAGCAAGGTTACAAGAAAAGATTAAATTAAACTCTATAAATGTAATCAAGAATCCTATACCTTCAAAAATCCCAACAACATATTCTCTTGAACGTTTAAAAGCAAGATAAGCTTTATCCTTAGCTTTTCCTTGATCCAAATGGTTTATATCTATATTCAATTCAATAATTTGTAAATCGTTTGGCATTGGGTTAAGCTCCACAGATTCACCGTTTTCTTTGCTATAAACAATTATATCCTATAAAATGAATTTTTTAAAAATTTTCTTTTGTAAAACTCTCACAATACACACCAGGGATGTTACCCGAAACCCGACATTTTTCTCACCCCGTGACATCCCTGATACACACTCACAATACCCACAAGCAACACTTAAACGATTTGCTAAGACCGTCAATTGGTCTTAGCAATAGTGGATTTTGTCAATTGGTGGATTTTGTCAATCCTCCAAATTTAGATCAAATATAAGTTTCATTCAAATAACTCATCACAATGTAATTTGCAGATAAAGCCTTTGCAAGCATTAACTGAAATATTTAATTACCAATATGTACATATGGGGGGGGGGGTGGATTTTTCTGCTCGATAAGAGATCGAGGTCATCGCCTTGATCGTTAAAGGAGAAGGAAGGCCTGACAATTTCTTTAACCTTTGAAAAAACTAACGAAACTATAAACGAATTAACTATATCGGACTTAAGCCTAGCTATGTTTTGCGACAGAATGATCTTAGGTAGATCAACCTGTTATTTACAATCCTCCCTTTATTAGAATTTAGATAAAAAATTTTCAAAAATATTCACATGTAATTGAATGTGAGAGTAGCCAAAGTTATCAAAGATATACAAAGCCCTCTTCTTTGAAGTTCCTTCTTCAACATGTGCCTTTCCTTCACGTTGTTGGAAAGGTTGATTAGACCTTCTTCTACTTCCTCCTCCAAAACAACCACGAAAATTATTCCCTCGTTTGCATCGACGATGGGATAATAAATTATTTTTTACTTTAGATTCTTCATAAGAAATGTTAATGAAAATTAACAAAAAGAAAATGTAAATTAATTTGAAATAATACATTTTCTGAAAATATTGAAGGGGGAAAGTTATGAAAATAAAAATAATTTTAAGTAATTCAAAATTCTGACAATTTTTTTATTCATTTAACGATCTCGTTTTTCATAACTCTGCGCGAACACAAAATAGAAATATTTTGGTACTTGTGAGTTATCTCATAATGACAGCAATTATTTTTGAAAGAATGAGGCACATCCTGAAATAGAGCCCCACATTAGAGGATAGTCAAAAATCGAGCCCCATGAGATTTTATTTCCGGAAATACGGATTTTTGGCCCTTAAAAATTTTTTATCTGTGGCAGAATTTATTTATAAACCAAAAAAAATAATATTGCAGAATTATTTGTTTTTTGTAAATTTGTTCACACATAAACAGCTAGCCTGTCCAATATATGGAAAGGACTTCAAAAAATTTTAAAACTCATTTGATTATTAAAGATTTAGTAAAAAATATTATTTAAAATAAAAATTATATAAAAATATTTAATAATTATTTTAATATGTCAACGATTTTTATAAGTAAATGGCAATAGCCTAGGTGAAGGGGATTATGTAAGGGTGATTAGGTGAAGTGGATGGACGTGGTCTTCCCCTCTCTAAGTGAAGGGTGGGGGACCACGTAGAATATTTTGAAACAGATTTTTATTATTAAAATTGCCTAGAAATATAGAGAGGAGAGGGAGAATGGCACTTAAAAAAATTTTTTCTATTAAAAAATTACCGTATATTGCCAGAAAAATGAAAAAAATTTTTTTTAAATTTATTTAATTAAATAAATATTAATGTTTTTAACTAGGGTTGCGCCCCGAGCCTTCGGGGTTGAAAAAGTCGGGGGTCGGGGTTTTCGGGGTTGACAAAGTCGGGGTCGGGGTCGGGGTTGCTCAAATTGTTCGGGGTCGGGGTCGGGGCTGAAAATCATGTCGGGGTTCGGGGTCGGGGTCGGGGGTCGGGGTTGAAGTGAAAATTTACAAAATCCAGCATTTTTATCCAATATTACTGTGCAAAATCAACATTTTTATTAAAAAATCAACTTAATCTTCATTATCTTCACTTTCTAAATCTAATTCGTTATTAGTTGAAGGCGCAAGAAGTACTTTATCCAAGTTATCCTTCATAATCCCCAAAATCCCCAAACCCACAAGGTAACTCTTACTCCCCCTCTTAAAGGGAGTGAGGGGATATGAAGGCATATCAGAGGATTAAGATGGATATAATGGGATTTAGAGGGATTTGAAGGGATATCGGGGATTTGCAAGTATAACTGGAGAAATCCATCTATCCATCAATTTCTCCTAAAGCCTCTGTATCCCTTCATTGAGTTTAGCGCCGCAGGCAAAAATTTTGAGAATTTTGGACGGTCAAGAGCCAGATCTCTTCCATTTTCTGCGCCGCAGGCGAAAATTTTTAGAATTTAGGAAGGCCAAGAGACAGATTTCTTCCATTTTCTACGCCACAGGTGAAAATTTTGGAAAATTCATGACTAGTTTAAAATTTCTAAAATTTTTTCAAGTTTAAAATATTAAAAAAAATAAATTTGCATATTTAAAATCAAGATCAAAGTTTAAAAATATTTATTTTTGAGAAGAAAAATTTTCTCAGTCCCATTTCAATCGATGTATTCGAACACCATACCTATCAAAATAGCTAGATGGGTGAAGTCAATAGCTAGATGGGTGAAGTCCCGTTCCGATCTCTAGTTAATTAATGCAGTTTGAGTCGGGGTCATAAAAATTTTTCGGGGTTCGGGGTCGTCGGGGTCGAACTTTCGGGGGTCGGGGTTTTCGGGGTTGGGAATGTCGGGGTCGGGGTCGGGGTTAGTCGGGGTCGGGGCGCAACCCTATTTTTAACGTTTATTTGCGCCAAAAAGTCCAGTTCCGGCAGAGCAAATTAACCTCCAGTCAATGCAACTACAAAGGATTGTGGGTGTGTTTTTATAAATAAATTTTTTAATAAATTTAAATATTTTTTTTATAAATTACGAATTACGATTACGAATTACGGCATTTTTTGAGTTACGAATTACGATTACGAAAAAATTTTTTAAATTACGATTACGAAAAAAAATTTTAAATTACGACGCAACTCTGAAAGGGACCCGAAAACCGGGAAACGGGTCCGGGTCCCGGACTTGTTCCGATCAGGGCTGATCGAAATAAAAATATTTTTTATTTCGAATCGAAACGAAATAAAAAAATTCCTATTTCGTTTCGGAGCGAAACGAAACGAAATGAGCTTGTTTCGGACGAAACGAAACGAAATAAACGAAATAAAATAAAAATTTAAAAATATTTATTTTTCAGTTCATAAAGGGTTTTAATCGATATTTAAATCATAAATATGCGCCCCAAGAGCTAAATGCGTGACAAAAGCATAGCAGAAACAAGAGTGGACCCTACAATCTGCCGATATCCACTTTAATCCCCTTAAATCGACATATATCCGCCTTAATCTCCGATATCCTATTAAAATCCCACGATATATCCAAATTTACTTTGGAGTATACCACTTTAGATATCGATCAAGAGGGATACTATGTGGGATAAAAGAGATATCTTCTATATTCCTTGAGATATCTTCTATTTCCCTTCTATATCTCACTCACAAAATCACTGATATCACTTAATCCATAAAATCTAAATATTCACGAAATCCCCAGATATCCCCTTAATCCCTCGCTATCCTCTTCCAATCTTAAATGCCCGATATCCACTTAGTCCCTCGATATCCTTTTCCAAAATCTTAAAAATCGAAGAAATCTGGCTCCATCGATGTCTCCTTAATCCTGTTTGGCCTCACAAAATTCTTAAAATTTTAGTCTCATGCACAGAAAATGGAAGAAAATTGGAGGCTTTATTGGAGGTAACATCACAATACCAATATATCCCTCTTAATCCCCAAATTCCTTGATATCGCTTTTAATCACCCAATTCCGAATATATATCTTTAATCTCTTCAAATTTGCCTCTCTCGATATCCCCCAAAATCCAATTATGCAACATACTTGTCTCTCTACAATTTACCAATTAATCCCTTTAAATTGACATATATCCGCCTTAATCCAATTTGGAGTACAACTCCAGTATATTTAAATCTGGGTTTCAAAAATTTTTAATATTCTTAGATCACAAATATAGATTTAGGGCTATGGTAGGTTGGACGGTGGAAGGCTGGTCTGCTCTAGCAAAACCCGTAAAGGCTTTCTTCCTTTTTAGCGCTGCAGGCGAAAATTTTTTGAATGTTGGAGCTCAAGAAGCCAAATTTCTTCCATTTTCAGCGCCGCAGGCGAAAATTTTTTAATTATAGGCTGCTCATAAGACAGAAATCGCTAAAAAATTGATGATTATTTCCATAAATTCCCGTCATTAGGGGTGCATTTTCTCACTTTTTTTTTGTTTCGTTTCGTCCGGAATTTTGGCTATTTCGTTTCGAAACGAAACGAAATAAATTTTTTTCTGTTTCGTTCCGAAACGAAACGAAATGGAAAAAAGGGCACGAAAGAGCGAAACGAAACGAAACGAAACGAAAT